TATCAAGAAATACCATATACATGTGTTGGAAGATACAATATTATAAAGATATCAATACTCCCAAATTAATCTAATCAAACACTTTGTTTATGTAATTGGAAAAGCTAACTCTAAGCTTTTTTTTTCCCACATTAAAACTTTTTTAATTTTTTAATTTTATTTAAAAAATTTTTTTAACTTTTTTTTTTTTTTTTTTGTGACTGGTAAGGGGATCATAACCCTTGGCTTGGTGTCCGCGGTCAGCCAGTGAGTGCACCGGCCATCCCTATATAGGATCCGAACCCGCGGCCTCGGCACTCCCAGTGCCACATTCTCCCAAGTGAGCCACAGGGCTGGCCCAAATTTTTTTAACTTTTTACCATGAAAGATTTAATATATACACAATAAATCCAGCTACAGCAATCACTTACTATGGCCAATCTTATTTGTAACCCCCCACCTATTTTCTGCCTTCCCTCCGGATTGTTTTAAGTAAATCCCAGTATCATAGCATTCATCTGTATATATTTCAGTATGTGTATTTAAAAGCTAAGAATTCTTTTATAAAAGACATAACCGCAGTATATAATCACATTTCTTAAATCAATAATAATTCCTTAATATAATCAAACACTAAACATATTTAAATTTCTCCAGTTCACTCCCCCTCCCTCTTAATTTCTTACACTTGATTTTTTAACATCAGGATCCAAACAAATTCTGCTTGTTGCATTGGTTGCTATGTTAAAATTTTTTAAAATTAAAAATGTACTCCCTCAGTAAATTAACATTAATTTTTTCCTTCAGCATTAATTAGTTAACATTAATTTTTCCCTCAACATTAGCCACATTGTAAGTGTGTAGTAGCCACATGTAGCTGCAGGCTACCATATTGGACAGTGCAGATAAGAATATTCCCATCACTGCAGAAAGTTCTGTCTGACAGAGGTGGTTTAGAATATTGGACTATTAATGATAGAAACTGTGGTTAAAGTTATATTCTCTTACAGATGAACCCATGAAAACAGAAAAAATAATAGGGCCAGGGGAGCAAATGGTAAGTATGGATGACTTGTCAGTCACCTGGAATGATATGTTCAAGCAATGTGGACCCAATCACTTGACTGAATTAAATAGAAGAAGAAAAAAAAAAAGGCATAGTACAATTCCCTCTCCAACTAGAGAATTTTTATTTCTTCCCAAGGTCCAAGGTATACAAAGAGCAAAAAGTCTCAAACAGTATCAATCTTTATTTTTATTTATTTATTTTATTGAATTTTTATTGAATCAAAATTTATTATACATATTTT